GGGTAAAAATGATAAGAGTATTAGTGTCGAGGACATCGTCCAGTTGGAATATTGAGAGGCCGTGTCTGAGTTTTGTGACCATGACATGGTGGTGTCTTCTCGTGCCAGGTTGTGAGACACAATCGTCGGCTCATGTCTGCACAAATCCTCGGCAGTAGTCCCAGTCCTTCTGGTGTCAGACACGTTTGTTTAATGGACTTGTCACATCAATCAAACAATTCGCCTTCTCCCCCAACAAAATGCAACTAATAATCCATTTCCATCCTTGAACAATTGAGATATTATTAATTCGTGTATTAATTGTTATATTTTATTTTTTTTATATTATTATTTAAATATATGAAAAATGTGAGGGGTATATATTTTCTGTCGATGGAGAAATATTTTATTCATGGAAAAAATATGTAGCTGATGTTTATATAAATTTATTGTATTTTCAGATATTTTTTAATAGTGAATAAGAATTTAAAAATGTGTGGCAGCGATTGAAATGTAAATTCGTTGATGATATTACAGAGAATCCGTCGTTTGAACATTATCCCGTGCTTTCCTCTCAAGATTTTCACGGCTCAGCTGGATTCCAACTTTTCGTTTACTTCCAAAAGATAAGACGGCTTCTATCTGTTGAAATAGTCCGTTGGGACTCACCCCCCAGGTAACCCAGTTATTCTTTTTCCCTCGTTTTCATTTTTAGCCTTTTTTTCAGTTAAAAGTTGAGTTTTTAATGCGCGGGGGCGGGGAAAACGGGAAAGTTGAGCCGAGCGATTCCCCCGGGACCCCGAATTCTGAATATCCAGTGTCTAACTTTCTTGCTGCACGTGTACATGATGTAATTTCTCGGTGCATATGTGCATGACGTAATTTTTCACTGGTAAACCGCGCGTGACCCGTGACCGGCGCGAATGGAGGACATTCAACCCCTTTATCGTAATCCCCGGTAAAAATTTCCAATCCGACGAGCCGTTACTCAACCTGACACTTGGAATTAACGTTAACTTAAAGTTTACACATTTTTTGTGGTCTTCGGGGTGATATACGTGTTCATTAAAAATACCACGGGGGTGGGCATTGGGGGATGAAGGTTCATTGTGAGTGATGAGGGTTGGATGCACGGCGGGAAATTCACCGGAAAACAAATTCTGTATTCAATGAGAATTTTGAATTATCACAAAAAAATGTAGACGGTCAAATAATTATGAATATTTGTATAGTTTTATCCCCTTTAAAAAAAAAGCATATACTATAAATTAAAAATAATATAATATGCAATTTTAATAAAATAATCATTTATCTAGAATAAGAAAGGAAAATATTGTATTTGAATTTGATTAAATTGAATTTAATTAAAAAAAAATATTTACACCCCGAAAAAAATTCCTAAAATTAATCAATAAGTTTTTATATGCCGGAAGATTCAGCCAGACCTAGGGATATCCTTGACATAAATGTACGCGCATTGTCAACGTGTCGACTAGAATTCACCGGTTATCGGCAATTGGATGATCGATTCCCCGTATTTTTTCTTTGGTAGTGGAAGTGAGAGAGTCCCCCCACATTTGAAAATCGCGTGTCACCGGAATATCCCTCTTGCGCAATATCTGGGTCTCATTTTGATATAATTTTTTTTTATTACCGAAGCAGAAACGGATGCGAGACAACTATTACCATCTCGAACCAGTTCCTTTTATAGAATTACATATTTGTATTGATTTCAATGATCAATTTGTGTCATTACCTGGTCTCTATTTTCCATTTTCCTCCCCCTCAACTCTCGGTACGATTATTCATTGAGTTGTTCCCTGTGTTCTCGGCCATGTGACAGGTACTGATAAAAACTTGTCACTTTCTGTTGCTATAATAACAACTTTGTGCATAATGGGTGTCGATAGAGGGGGAAGAACATTTATTTATGGCAGTGTTAGAGTGTTTTCATGGTTTTCTCTCTACGCGGAGGAAAAAACACTCGGGATCTTTCACATTTCGATTTTTTACCGCCGACTCCCTCCCTCTCACCTTTAAAAAAATTATTAAAAATATATATAATGACGTTCAATTCAGTATATATGGAATTTATATAAAATATACATGGAATATAATCCAATTTTATATAATATAAAAAATATGCCATTGAAAAATTTTTTTTTGCGTTTGAAAAAAAAAATTTCCCATTATCCTATCTTTTTGTTCTTAAAATTAAAATTCTGGACATGAAAATTCTGAAAGTTATAAATGTTAAGATAAAATAAATGATAATAATTT